ATGCATCAGCGCGGGTTGGGTTCATGTGCAAGGAGATGCCGCCAGACATGTCGTAGATGCCTTCATGCCAAAGCTCGAGAGCGAAGAGGTTCGTGAAAGCTCTGCAGGTCAACTACCGGAGTGCACACCTGGCACAGGCCTTCGTGTAACTCGAGTTGGTCGTATAACTAAGACGGGTGCAATGCAGATGCTAGGAATCCCGTGCGAAGTGAATGAATCGCTGCTTTGGCTGCCCTTCTTTCACAAGCAGTGACAAGCACAGAAAGACAGTGAGAAGTGAGGAAAAGTGATGGAGTGAGAGAAAGAGACAGGGCGCGAGACAGAAGAAGAGACAGCTGCAGAGAAGTCTGGGAGTCTGGGAGGATTGCTTCCATGCTCTTCAGCACAAAGCGGTCGACAACGGCATGACCAAGGCAAGCTCAAACCTGAAGAGGGAGCGGCAGTCCGAGACTCATTCAAGCGACTGTGCCGGTCGGCGAGGTGGTCCTCAACGTGGTGATTTCGAAGCTCCAGGGCAAGCAGGCATACACCCATGGCTGATGCTTTCATCGGCTACATCGCTAACATTCAGAGCCTTCGGGCATTCGGCATTATGTGAGAGCGCAGACAAGTCCTGCCCAGGCAGCAACACTATTCTTGCCCTGCAGCGCTTTGCAAAGACAAACCTCGTTCCTCACCTTGCTGTGCTCGTGCAGTTTTCGCGACCTGTCTGTTTCTTATCTGCGCCTCAAAATTCCACAGTTGCTGTCGATTCGTCCGACTGGCGGATGTGCGGCCCGAACCCAGGCTGCACTCCGTGAGTCTGCCCTGAGTTTTCTTCAATTCTCGGAGTTTCATCAGTATCAGCCGAAAGACTTCCAAACGTGGGCGCAAGACTTCGGCGCTAGTTCGCCACCGTGAGAGAGGCCACCTTGAGGGCGCTAGTCTGGTGTTTCGTTCGTGGGGTTTCCACCAGCTTTCGAGCTTTCGGAGGCTCTGACCGAGCGCTTCAAAGACCTGGCAAAGAGCGGCAGGCGGACCATGGCCAATAAGATGTCACGGGGTCTCCGGCGAAGTGTCAAGCGAAGGGGAAATTCCGGGGCTCCCCGCCCCCCTCCCCCCCCTGCGCACCCAGAACTCTCAAGCTGACCCCTCGACTCAACACTGTGAGTGATCTTGGTCCTGCAAGGCTGGTGCCTCTCGTGGATGTGCCTCGGTCGCTTTATCGTGCATGAACAGCCTTCGCTGTCCGAACGGATGATGTCTAGTCTAGTCCATTGTCAAGCAGCGCTGGGAGGGGGGGCTGTATTTTTCCTCGGTGTAAGGATCGGACAAATGAGCAGCTTGACATCCAGAGGACACAGGCAGCTATGGGTTTGGTGCACTGGACATGTCTGAGCCGGCCGGCGGGGCTGGGGTCAGGGATCACAGCGACCCACTTCCTGGATGTACCAGCCAGCAGCTGAGACATTCCGACACCATGGGAAAGGCGGGGCTTCAGGCTGGGAATCAGTGATGCGATGTCCTCCATAGATGGCAAAAAAAAAGCACGGCCAAGAGCCTCAGGCTTGCCGTCTTGTTTGTCCAGTCGAAACTGAAAGCTCTCGTCCCAGGTAGGCACTCCAGGATTGGATTTGCGATGGCCACGTGGTGTGCACCAGGCCGAAACCTCAAAGTATTCCCGCTGAACCAGAGTGTGATTCAGGCAAGGCTTAGTTCGGCAGAAAACGGACTCAGTCCCATGTCGCTGCCCGCCCCACGTTTGCGTGCAATGGTGTTGGATGTTTCCCTGCATGACCTTCCTGTTCCAGGTCTTGGTCCTCCAGCTGTTTGCCGCACAGATGAGCGTGTGCGCCTGCCAAGACTTGGAGAAAGAGCTAGGGTCGTGATGGAGTTCATGAGAGTTCATTCTGGAGCTTGCAAGGAGGAGGTGAGTTCGAGAGTGCAGTCATTTCGGGCTGTTCGTTTGCACTTTGCACTATTGGAGGTGGAGACGTGAGCAGCCTGCACTCGGTTTTGGAATCCGAGTGTAAGGATATTCTCCAAGAAAATCTACTGCATCGCTCCCACTGACCTAGCGGCTGTGTCAAGCAGCCTTCTCCGCTTCGTCGAAAAATCGCCGGATGAAGATTTGCTGTGAGTTCGTGCCCTGTTTTGATCATCGGCCTGTACTCAGCGAAGTTCTACTAGAGCTGGCGTGCTGTTGCACTGAATTGGGGCATGACTTCGCCGGCCGGAATTGTTTGTAATTCCCCATCGCGGGGGAAAGCTTCAGTGTCTGCTCGCAGGCTGGACAGGCTGCACAGTGTGAACACTGTCGCTAGACATGTCAGGCTTCTGCTTTGCTGCCCGAAGGTCGATTGCCGGTCACTTGCATCCAACTAGAATTGCAGAGTCTGAGTTTCGTCCCAGCCTTTAGTGCGGATACAGCCTGCGCGCTGCAGTCGCTGACACGCTCACTGGGCTGGAACCTCTTGCGGAGAAATCCAGAGCTGCATTTCACCCAAGCAGCGATGGACTCACCTCAAGGCCGTTGTGTGGCAGTTCCGGGGGGAAACCTGCCCAGAGTGACTCAATTCAAGACGAGGCCAAGATTGCATCATTAGGAGCAGACTGTACCTTCGAGCCTGCGGGAGCGAAGCGCATACAGTGATACAGCGCCCAACTGCCGAAGCAAATCATCCGGCAACTTTTTTCTGCAGGTACTGTGCTCCACGGCACAGAAGGTGCTGGCTGCTTGTTGAACCGAAGAACATGCGTGCAGAAGCGCGCAGGAGATGTCACAGCCTTCACGAACGGGAGACATCTGGAGACTTTTATGGCTGCGTCGCTAAACAAACAGCAGTTCTCTGCAGTTTCCCTGACTTTGGAAGTGAGATCTCCGGGCATTCTCATCTTTGAACTACCGCACTACCCTGACCCATGGCTTGTTGTAGAACTCGCATATTGCGAACACCATTGCAAGACCTTTGAACAAGCCATGGAACGTCGAAATTTGAACGGCCTCTCCGAAGCCCACGTATCCTGGTCATGTGGCCAAGGCCAGCACCTCTCAACTTCATGCAGCACATAGCCTTTGTATGTGGCCGCATGGAAAGCTTTGTGTCATGACGAAAGAGCTGCGGCAGTTGCGAGATGTTGGTTGACTTTGTGCCAGCTTGTCAGCTCGTGAGCGAGCCTCTCCCGTTCTCCCATTCGCCGTTTCCTGAATCTAGACTGAGCTTGACGTTTGCTACTTGTCCGTAGCATCAGTAATAGCAGATGCATTTTTGCGGTCTTAAAGCTCGAAAAGCTGCATCATCGCACAGGTCTTTCTGAATTTTATGACTCCGGAAACGTGCCTCTCTTTGGCTCCAGATTCCAGCTCCTGCCCAAGGGGCCTGCTCCACGGTCTGTGCTGCCACTGCCCAGATTGCCCACAGCTCCCAACACGAATGGTAGCCCATGGTAGGCCTCGATGCGTCATGAGACGATAGCGCCTGTGCCTGGAGCTCCCCTGCGGATCCTTGTGCTGACAGCTATGTCAGCTATGTGAACTGGAATGCTAGCTCCCGAATTCGATAGGGCACAGAATGGCCCCGGAATGTGCATTAGCTATCACTGCCTACAGCTGGTAGCCTAGCTTTTTCAGGGCTGTGGCGCTGACATGTGCTTTGCAGGGGCAATGTACCCTGGTTAACATCAGGGCTGCTGTCAGGCATCTGTCGCTAAAGAATTCAGTGTATGTCAAAATTGCGGCAGGGTACGACGATGTGCCTCGGAACACTGCCCCCCACGCCATGTTTTCTATGGGTGTTGTTGTCGTTATCCCCGGCATCTCCGTCCCCATTTACACCCAATGTCTAGTCCCTAGTAGAAATAGGCGCTGCTTTGATGAACATGCTGCATCTGTGTGCTGCACTCCCAAACGTTTCCGGTAAAGCCCGCCCCCGGCCATAGACTGATGATGTATTGCAAGCAGCGGCCCTGGTTCATCGCAGAATGCGGGCATCTTCTCTCTTGCAAACCACTGACAGTAGCGTGGCATGGAAGCGACACGATGGCTAGGCGGCTATGTAAATGACAACTGAAAGCCAAAACCTTGGCAAGCAAAGTGGTTTCCAAGGGCTTACAATCTCATGGCCCGGAACATCTCCTGCATTCACAAGCTTTTGCAAAGTGGATCTTTGCTGCTGGTCCACTGCCGTAAAGTCGGTACGCGAAATGTAGTAAGTTAGCTGCTGTCACTACGGTATCAGTCGCCAGATGCGCAGGCAGCCTGTTTGGGGTGCTACGGAACACAGCAAAGACAATGATCACGCAGCAATGTTGCTCAGATTGTTTTGCCTCAGCTTCCACGTGCAAAGCTCAATGTAACAGAAAGAGAATTGGAAAGTTCCTTGCTGAAGGGATCTGCTGCAGCTGCAAGAGCTTTTGTAGTGGTTACAAGTCTACGCATGCTGTGTGAGCATTGCAGGCATTTGATGTTGATTCGCTTCATTTCTGCCGGTCCCATGAGTGTTCCTGCGGTTCTTGCATTAATTGGCCATCCGAAGTCGATTCCGAATACTGGTCTTACAGATGCTTGGGAGAATCTGGGCGGGTGTTGAGATGCCACAGAGCTCGAGAAAACTCCCAAACCAGGGTCGGATGTTTCGGTGTCCAATTCGGAGGACATGATATTATGATCAGGTTCCAACACAAATGCGCAGGGGTAACTCGCTCCGGTTGCCATCTGGATCGTGGTCTAAGGTGTCCATACAAGGTGGTCCAGCATGGCTGCTGCGCTGTTGAGCAGGCCTCGGCGGACATAACTTTGCAGCCTCTGTTTGGGTCCTTGAAGGAGCTGCTTCGGCAGAACTGGGGACGGTTGAGACAGCTGTTATCCGGATCCAGTGCGCCAAAGCTGGCTCGGGCTCTCCACTTCGCCGCCAAAACTTTAAGTTCATCCATCTCCCTCAGTTTACCATAGAAACAGAACTGGTGCAACGAACCGTCCGAGATGTCCCCTCATCGCCATCCGATGCTTGCTCCTAGGCTGAATGCCGGCAAGCCTGCAAGCTCGAACGTTGGGATCTGCCAGACGAGCTTGCGCAGGTGATGGGACTAAGTGTAATTTAACAGTTTTCAGGGTCAGTTATTGATTCACAGGATTTCGAGCTCCGAGGCTTTAGGGTTTAGCACGGGGGGATTTGGCGTTCGGATTTTGCGCGGAGTGGATGCGCATGAAGCACCAAATTAGGAAGCATGGTCACCGTGCCCAAGTTTGCAAGAGCAGAGAGTCACGGGATCCGAGACACGGGTTCACAGCACTTTGGACAGTCCGGGTCTTTGGAAAGCGCCATGGTGCCCGAAAGAAATTACCTGCAACGGTGCAAAGACTCCCCAAGGCACCCTGAGAAAGGCAGCGGGGTCCGGCCATTCGTGGCCGTGGCTATGCTGTTGCAGCCGGCGGTGGGGCAGACGCAGGAGTGTCAATGTAACTTCACAGACAGAATCTGGCAAGCGAAAATGGATGGCATGATCCATCGCATCAGCAACTTCGCGCGTTTTCCTTTGTTTGATTTCGAGGACCATCCGGAGACAGAGTTTATCCGGAACTACGCATATGCGAAGGGCGCATTGGCAACGCCGTGCAGTCCCGAGAAGGTGGCAGAGGCGGCTGTGTGCAGCTTGCAGATTACCTACACGACACATCGCAAACGGAGATCTGGATCTCCATCGTCGAAAAGCGGTCTGCTGCAAATGATTCGTCACTGGACCGCTGCTGTGCGCTCTGAGATGGAAGAGCAGAGGCAGATTTGTACAAAGCTGTCCAACTCCGATGAGAAGCTTCAGTGGTGGTACGAGAAGTTTCCAGCAAAGGCTCAGGTGAGCGAGGGTGTGAAGAAATCCGAAGCTGAAGGCATGCAGAAGCGTCTGGAGGAATGCCAGGCGACAGCCCACGCTAGACAGGAAGCCTTGAAGAGATCAGAGCAGCTTGTTCAGGAGATTCAGGAAAGAGTCAAGGAGGCCAAGGCTATCAAAAGCATCGAAGACTTTGCTGAAACTGCGCAGTCCGTATGTTTTTGCTTGCCTTTCCTGTTTCTGCTGGGCTGCTTCTGGGAAGTCCTCCGTTGGTTCGGAAAGCAGAACATGTGCTGGTGTTCTGCCAGAGACCACGCCTTCACGACGGAAGCAAGTTCGCACAGGGGCGTGGTTTTGCTGAATGCAGATGCGGTCGAGGAGCTTCGTGTCATTAAGGATCAGTTGTTCCAGTTGACAGCAGCTGCTGCAGAGGGCGCGAGCAAACTGATGGAGCGCACCACGATGCGGCTGGCTGACAACGACAGCGAGGTTTGGAGCCATGCTTCCTGGCAGGAAATCGGTGAAGGTGAAGACCCGGCGGAAAACTCTCTGTCAATGATCTCTGCAGGTGTCGCCGCACTTGTGCAGCAGGATTGCAGCGACAGTAAAGCATCAACGTCGTTGTTCGCCACGTCTGGCGCGCACTTTGCTTCTATGTCAGTGTGCCGTGCGAGGTGAGACAGGCTCCAGAGCTCCACCGGGCAGAGACTTTGCTTTTGCACGCAGGCAGCGCGGTCCTGCAGGTTAGCCCTGACCATCGCATTGTATTGCCCAGCGGTGATTCGGCAACTCGCCTCTTTAATCAAGCTTTCCAAAATCTCCAAACAGCCCCCAAAACTCGGGGGAGTACGTCAGCTCGAATCTGGGCTTCTTGTAAGCAACAACATCAGCAAACTCGCCTCCGCCACAGCCAGGTGCAAGCTGGAAATCTTCGAATTGGTCAGGAGGTCATGCTGCATAGTGTAGAAACCCAGCTGACCCGCCTTGAGCTCAGTTCTGTACCCGCCAACGTCTTGAAGCTGGCCTTCGACCCTCGACTCGACTGTGGCGAGGTCCATGAAATCAGGTTCCCGTAGGTTTTGGAGCATGGTCTGGATTGGCTTCAGGGGGCTCGAGTGGCTTGAGAGAGAGGGGTCTCTCGCGTCTCTCGGGTCATGTCCCACCGGCCCAGGATCCTGACTTGCCCGTGGAAGTCTGGGTGCCTCCGCCCGTCGAGCTCGCGAGGAAGGTCCCTGAGCCTGTGAAAGCCGTCGGGCACCACGAAAAGCTTAGAGGCTTAGAGCTTACAACAGGGAGCGAAACCCAAGCCGGTGCAGGGCCTACCCCCGCAGAAGGCCAGGCACTTGGGGCTGGAGGCGGTCGAAGCGAATTCTGTCCATGAAACCTGTTGCCTTTCGGTTTCGGGTCCAGGGGTTTCCAGTCGTACCCTACATAGAGGAAGCCACGGAGTAGGGTACATCCCACGGAGGATGCAGTGGAGAAGATGTTGTTGTTTCGTTCTCTTACGATTCCAAGCTTCAAATTTATCCTAAGCTTCTCTGTTGTGCTCGATGTTTACCCTGTGAGCCACAGCAGCCGGTGGTCACGAATCATAAAATCAGCTTGCAAGCCCTAGACCCGGAAATCTTCAACCATCTCGCTTGGTGTCTTGTGAGAACCGTTGTGCAACACGATTTGAATCTGTCCTCTTTGCCTTAGTTCAGAAACCACAGCATCCGAGCCTCCGGTATAGATGCCAGGTGGCCACCTGAGCGGCTGAGTCAGGACACGTACATATCCGTTGCGTTGCCCTGTCTTGAACTGGCAAAACACGAGAATCGGACGCTTACAGCACGCATCATCAAGCGCTTTCCAGTGAACAAGCGTGCTGATGCTAATTTTCGATCCCTACTCGTAGCGCCAGAAGAAGTGTCTGGCGTTCAAGACAGCACGGGAAGCTTGCCAACACGTCCGTTCTTGCCCAGTGCCCGAAGCCTGCACCGCTGAGGTAGCAGCGCTGGATGATCCGCACACGAAGCAGGACAATGCCGTGGGCGGAGGTGAGACTTCGTGAGTTTGGAGCAGCGGAAGCCTTTGTTCCACTGCGTGAAGTTCACGAAGCCGGCAAAAGATGTCAAAGAGTGCTTTAGCCGCCTCGGCACAGGTCGCTTTTGCCCACGCCTTCCAAGTTGCAATCGTTGCAGGCCCCATCCGTTCCCAACTCCGCTTCATTGGTATCACCATCACCACTTTCATCACCGTCACCAACACCATCATCATTATCATCATCATCACCATCATCCTTTATTCTTGTTGCACAGAATCGTCATTGTCGTCACCAGTTCCTCACCAGAATTATCATCACCCTTGATTCATCATCATCCATGGATGGCGCGTTTTCATCTTCATTGTGACAGATCTTCATCACCACCACCATCATGATTGTGTTCTACTGCTTCCAAAGTCTTACATGCAGTAGATCCCTCCTCATCATCATCCTCATCCTTATCCTCATCATCACCTTCGTGACAAGCGGTAAAAAAGTCTCTCGTCCTGGGGGCGCCTTTCAACTGGCTTTGCGAGATTAAATTACTCTTACTTTAACTTGCCCACACGAACTAAACACTCAAAACCAGCGAATTCAAGCCTCGCCAGGGGGACGCTGTGGGCGCTGAGGGGGGGGAGGGGTTGGGCCTGCCTTGGGCTCGAACTGAATTACTTTTCCCCTAACCTACCTACACAGGCGCTTTGGCTTACAGCTTCCCGC